ATTGTTCATCCTCAAACTGCAAAATCATAAAACTCTTTGCTCCAGAGACTTTCAGGCTGTTCATCCTGCCACTGAGGAAGTGCTATGTTGAAAATTAACAATGAAAACATTCGATGGTCCATTCATATGGGCACTTCACGAGGCCTTTCAGCTCTGAAAGTCTCCTATCATTGCCTGTATTTATGTTTTCACTAAAACCGCTGCTTTTATGCCATTGCTATCAGCAGCAATGGAAGGCGAGTAAGTATGCATTTCTAACCCTGTGCTTATCACTGGTTTCACATGTTACTGAAAACTAAATGACTTCTTGCTTGGTAGACGTGTATCTGACAAGCTAGCGATTGAAATTTAAAAGCAAATAGTTTTCAGTATTATTTTAGTTATGTAGAGAACATAAAATGTTAAGAAGGTGGGGGATTTTTTTGGTATGGCTATTCAGTTATGTAATTGTATCTGGAGAAACAAATTTTTACTTAAAATAGTCCTAAGAAAATATAAAATATTTACCACAAAGTAACTTTTCCTATTACTCTCTCCCACTCTTGACTGTGACATTTCATGATCCACAACAATATTCTCCCCACCCTTGCTGCTTATACCTGTTAACATTGTTTAAGTTCTCCCTCTCAAAAAAAACCCCAAAACAACCCAACCCAAAACCCAGTATTTCAAGCTGAAGTTGTAGTTTTGCTTACCTAGACATTTTCCTTTATGGACAATAAGTTGTCCGGCACCACTCGTGCTGAAGTTCAAAACTTCGTAATTTCCAGGGCACTCTTCGTTATTACTAACAGAAAGCTGGCGTTCTCGTCTGCAATGTGAACAGAACATTTTTCTCCTACTCAAAAAGATAGTATTGTTGCAGTCCTAGTCCCTAAAGATATCAATTCTGCAAGAGGATTAGCTTTCACACACTTTTGCATCCAACGATAATATCCATTAATTTCAAAGATACTGAGTTAGTGCAAAGATATATATCTGATTAGAAATCCAGCATTTTAGCAGCAACATCATGGTGCACGGGGTCTCTATATTCAAAGCCAGGAGTTGAATCCAAACCTTAAAACTTCTGCACCTTAGAATGACACTGCCAGCTAGGGGGCAGGGTGGGAAAAAAAAAGTAAACATACTACAGCTCTGAAAAATATGTAAGTTTGACTTGATTTGCATTCTCTTTTAAAACATTACAAAAAGCAAATATACGCAATTTTGGAAGTTCATTCCAGCTTTAGCTTAATTATTTTTCATAACGTAAAATGGGTTTCCCATTTGCCTCCTTTACTACTCTAAACTCCTTCAAGAAAAGGGAAGTTCTGCAAAAACTTTCAAAGCAAGTATGATTAGGGTGTTTCTTCTCACATGCATGTACAGAGCTGCCCATGAGATCAGAAAGAACTCAAGACCACTAACCCAAATCAACCTCCATTACTTCTTGGTACAATCTATTTCAAAATTAATAGAAATATCGCTACTGCAAGAGTATCCTCTAAATAAATGCAATCACGTATAGGGATCACTGGAATATACAAAGGGTAATGTAGAAGTTCTTCCAAAATATTGAATTTATTTAAAAAAACAAAAAGTTAAAAAGCGCTACATAAAAGGAGATGCCACAGGGAACTTCTTGCAAGTGCTGTATAATGAAATTTATAAATTATATATAATTTCTGTAATTTAATAATCTTCTAAAAGTTTGTGTTCCAATAGCCAAAATTTCAGGCTTCATAAACAGATAAAAATATGGCACCACTCTTCTTGTGAAAAGAGACCTCAGAAAACTAAACAGGCGTAGCTTGTGCTTAACTCTACAAAAATGGCATGATGAGAAGTTTCAACGTTTCAAAATCCTTTTTGATTATTTTCACCATTGTTAAAATAAGTAACTCTGCCTTTTTGGTTGTTAGGTTTTGGTTTTTTTTTTTTTAAATAAGAATGTACAATGTAAGAATTTGTGTGGAAAGTTAAAAGAAGACCATTGTATGTGTTCTGCATTAAAGCATAGTTACAAACCTTTGAGACACTTGTCTTGTTCCACAAGCACAGACACACTCTCGTTTTGTTATGCTAAGATTAGCCAAAAGATAGCAAGAGAGATTTATGGACTATCAAATACTATACAGGAACAACTGTATATGACTTGGGGTAGGCAAAGGGAAGAGATGGCAGCAAGAGTCAAAGTAGGATAGATCAAAGAACTACTTCTGCTTCAGGTATCTAGTGTTGCTGATAAATAATGTGAAAACAATTTGAAGTCTAGAGACAGGAAAAAAACAGGAATACACTATTTCCATTAAAACAACAGTCCAAATAACAAGTCATTGGCACAATGTGAATCAGAAGTAGGTAAATTAGTACCAGGATACCTCCACTGTCCTTGACAGTTGTATATCAGCTATGAACACAGGAAAGGAGGGGAAAAAAAGAAAATTTAAAAAAAAAAAAAAAAAAAGAAGAAAAACCCCAACCCTACCTATGTCATCACCAATCCTAAGCTAGATGAGTTACGTACCAGCAAAAGAACCCTCCAGTAACTCTAATCTTCCCTCCAAAACGTTGCTCTGCAAATGCAATCAGCATTATCCGATTCTCCAGCACAGAACTTTACACCGGTGTATTCTTCACAGCAAATGTTTTGAGATGAATATAAGCTTTAATTTATTGCGCTATTCCAAAACCTTCATTAACTGATTTAAAGTAATTTTCTTCTGCAATTGCCAACATACTGCATACTTTCAAGAAACTACATAAGCCCTGAATATACCTTCCAATGATTGCCAAATACTTTCCAAGTTAAACTAACGGCCAAGCTGACTCTCTTAATTGGAAAGTTCCCAAGTTAAACCATGCCAAATGAAGAAGGTGAGGAATGGGGGGGCGGAAGACCGAAACGAACAGCTGAGCAACATGGCACATTACTCTCTTGCCTTCAAACTTCACTTTGAAATCAAATGTTTGAAAAAAAAAAAAAAAAAAATCCACAGGCAAACTGACATACTTACTTTGAACGTCCAGCTGAATTTGGTCGATGTTTATTATTCACTCCATGTTCCAAACAGCTCCCATTTAAACTGGAAGCAACTCTATATCCTGCAGTATCTCTCCTGTGAGAATTTTCTTGACTTGTCAGAGCAGCTATTTCCAAACGTTCCTATAAATCAGGAAAAACACCAAATAAGTACAGAAACTACTCCTATCCTCAAAATATGCAAGTACTTGACTATTATTCTATAAAGTCACCCGGACCACAGAAGAAATAGGTTTTCATAATAAATGTACATATGAGGCTGAGGAAGTGCTGAGATTCAGCTCTGTCCACAGGCATGAATGTAAAGATTCTTTACAACAAAATTGGAAACATTAACATACCAGCTTTTTTCTATGTCTGTTTGAAAACATCCATCTCAGTACACTTAAGATGCTAATACATTAAACTATTTTCCCTTACAGTTGATTTTATTCCAGAAATAAACCCCATATAATCAAGAACCTATTTTAACCTAGATCTATTAGAAGCCCTGGATGAGAAAAGATGTCCATGACAATTCAGTCATGTAAATCTCTCCAATTTTTATAAGCAGTGCTGGGAAGAAGTTATTGCAATGGTTTTTGCATGCCTGCTTAGAAAGAATACCTGTTTGGCAATCTCTTTCTTTTTTCTTTCTTCTCTTTTCTCTTCCTCCCTTCTCTGAATCTCATTAAGGATTTCACGTTGCTGAAATGGATTTTGGTGTTGTTAGAGATGCAACAGTACATGCAATGCAACTGCTAATCTTACCCTGGTTAAAAAAAAAAAAGCTATGATGCTGATTTTTCGAAAGTGTTAAGGAGGACTTGTGGATCTCACAAGAATAAAAAAACAGAAGTAAAATTAGCTCTCCTGAGGAAGTTAAGGGCATCAATTGTGTGATATAGGAGAACGAAGTTGTAGACAAAAGAAAATTACTTCTACTGACAGACCCAACAATAAAGTTTCATACACAGAAAAGACAGAGGAATAAGCTAAGACATTCTTTTAAAAAAAGAGCTATTCTGTCCATATTCCCACAGCGTGGAGACTCCACACTACTAGTCTCTGTGAGACTTAGATGAATCCCCTCGTTTCTAGTGAAGAATGTATGTAGGTCCAAGGTCTCTTTAGATTAAATTTATTGCGCTCTAGAGAAGTCTGTCATAGTGAACATTCCAGTCACCCTGTGGGTGAAGGAAGGTATGATTACCTATCTGTCTGGCTAACACTTCCTAGTTTAAGATGGAACGCAATTAATATATACATTTGCTTATACTTTTGTATAAGGTCCTCTTTAAAAGTGATTTCCGTAGGATCAGGAATCAACATTTAGGTTTGTTTCAGGCATAAATGTTTCTCAGGGTTAAAAACACATCATTAAAATATTACAATTGCAGCAGCACATAGTTCATATAGTACATGTTGATCAACTCATATTGACAGGTCTGACAAGCTAATAATTCACTAAAACCCACCACTATGCAGGATGATTTACAAAATCATGATCGTTTATGTTATTTTAAGAATACAGGGTTATTCACACTTTAATTTCTCTTACCTCCTGCTCCTCTCTTCTCTTAACTTCTTGCGCCCTACGCAATTCCTCCTGAGCCAGTCTTTCTTGTTCTTTTTGATGATTTTTTAGCATTTCTTCATGAAAAGACTTGGAAGGTGGTTTATTATACTCACTGAGAAATGACTGTACGTGGTCGGCAAGTTCAAATATCATCACCTGAAAGAAAATAAATATGAATGACATGCAGAGTTCAAAGAACAAGTAGATCACATAGTAAAATGATATCCAATTCAAAAAAGCAATACAGCAGCAGTGCGACTGCTGGTTTTGTTACTGATCAGGGAGAATTTACTGTATTTCAGTATTTTTTGTCAGAACTATTTATTAATAAACTGTAAAATGAGAAATCCCTGACCACAATAGCAAAGATGGCAAAAATTACTGAAAGACAGCCAGTTTCAAACATCACCTTTTTAAAAAAAAATTTAAAAAAAATAAATTTCCTTTTCTCATCTTCTTAGGCATATTTTTCTATTCACAAAGATATGTGTTTATGACATATGAGCTACAACAGAATAAATCCTTTGCAATTGTCTATTAATTACTAATCAATTACTGTATCTACTGCTAGGAAATAGTTATTTCAGTGCTAACACGAAACCCAATCCTTCTTCTGCAAACTAGCCCCCCCAGTTAAAACTGTAAAGCCACTTAAGGCATTCCATATTCATATAACCACAACTACTAGAATAAGAACTGCACTGAAAACTCAGCTGAATTCTGCTACATGGTTTGCAAGGTTGGAATCGATTTTCAGTTAGTGTTTACTTGAACTGGGTATGCGTGGTTGTGCATTTCCCCCCTTCCCCTGGGCCACTCTATGATCTCAGGAACTCCTGTTCGGCCTTAGCCATTGAGTAACGAGTTGGGCGGTTGAGCATCCCTTGACCGTACCAGGCACTCTTGCATGGCTAAGGTGGGGAGCGACAC